GAACTGACACCTTGTCTCCCACCTGGCCTCCTACTTTCTCAATCCATCATCTGTCTTAACGAACTGTGGCAAATGTGGCCGAGCAGGTGTGAGAGCAGCAGCAGCCCCTCCTCCCAGTCTTGGCCTGACTTCCTTTGTGCCTCTTACACAGGCTGTGCAGGGAGCCGAAACAAATTGGTTCCATGTTGGGGGTCACTGTTGCAAGTTTTCAATAGTAAACCAGTTAGGACAACAAATACTCAATTTAAACATAGCTAAGAGGGAGGAAAATGAGTTGACTAACACTAATGCTTTTGCAACTACTGCATTCTAAAACACTCTGGAGAAGAGAAAGGCTTCATTTAGCACAAGACTGTTGTAGTTCTAGTTAGCTTTTCAAATATATATCACCAAGGTCACTATAGATAGCTGAGGTTCATCTTTATAGAAAGAAACATGGAGCTATAAGCAACAAGGCTCTTTGTGAAGCCAGAAGTACCTAATAAGCTGGAGAATTTTACTACCTTCCTAACTGCTTTTTGTTCGTACTTGATGGATGGTTGTGGATCCACTGGCAATTCTCCAGACCAGCCTTGGCAATCATGTGGAACATATTATCCTCTTGGGCAGAACTGCCAGATCTGTTCCAACTGTTCCACTCAGCTGTAGACCCAAACACTTAAACACAAATCACTCACGCTACAATATGCTCTATTGTAAAAAAGTTCCATAAAAGGCTGGAAAAGATACCAGTGGATTTATCCTCTCCACTGTTATGATCATTTGCTCTTTCTTCTTCCATATTTATTCATATTTATTTATTTATGAGTATTTGGATATCTTCTATAAATACTAATCAAATATATGGGATTGAGATGGTAACAAACCACTTAGAGATTTTTAGGTAGACAACGACAAACCTACCCTTCACCTTCTGCTATAGTGCTCTCTCTGTCTTACTTGTTCTGCTCTATGAAGGTCTAACCTCCATTAATAGTTGAAGCCACACAAAGGACACTGATAAGTCAGTCCAACAAAAGTTTGCCTGGATGTACAGCTTGGTGACTTTTAAATCTTTTCAACCTTTCAATCCATTTTGTTGCGTTTGTCTGGAATCACTGCCATAATATATTGTAGTCATCTCAAGCAACTTCCTTCCCTGGAGTGTGCAATCAAAATTTTTGGTATGGTAAATCCCTGTCAATTATATTACTCTCATATTATATGACAGCTTATTACTTTAGACAAGCTATTTCACCTCCATATGTCATTCATTTCAGAGCTGACCATCACTTCTCTGATGTCCAGTCATTTGAAGCCTGCCCCCATGTCTGAATTTTCAAATGTTGAACCCTCTGTGGAGGTGTTCTAAAGAAATAGCCCTGCTGTAGGTTACTGGTGGAATAGGGTCAGGGGGACAGTGAAGGAAGCAAAACATTCCCTTCATATCTTCCTAGCTTATTAGCAGCAAAACATGATGTGCTTTATGCAGGAGAAAAGCACATCCCTGGGTCTGCAGACTACTACTTGCAGTTGATGCAGTTTCACCCATTTAACATCACATATATGTATGTTTCTAAAATCAAAAGCTAAAGTCCTAAGTGCCTAAGTGACTTTATTTTCTTCTCTTAGCCAGGATTAAGAAAATTATGTTAAAAGTCTAAAGTCTAAAATCAGCACAATAAATTGGCATTTCTTCCCCTTACCTGTATCAACAGATAACGTCTTTGAAATGAAGCGAAGCATTATTTGACATCTCAATTTGATTATATCATAAATAGAGCTTACACTGTGTTGGATGTTCTTCCTTTAACACTTGGATGATTTTCCATCCTAATACCATGGACTGAGTGTCTCTTCAGTTTTAATCACAGGACCACATGACTGATTTCAGCACTGGTTTTATGTGGACATTTGTGCAAGAAAGGCTCTGTCTGCAGTAATTTCTTCTGTCTGGTTACCTAATGAGTTTGTTGATTCATTGATTGTGTCATTCAATAAGCTTTTAATGACTTGTGGATTTGATTTACACTCTATGAATAAGCTGTGAGACATTTTGAAACAGAATCTCAAGTTATATATGCTGACAGAAATTAAAGATGTGAGCACTCTACCTGAAGGCATTGCTAATAAGGGTTTAATTTTATTTGATTTTAAATTCAGGGCACAGGCCAATGAAAATTTCATTAATTTGTATGCTGTGGGAACTACATTTGCCAAATTGATTTGGGGGATTTGCATAATATGATGGTCTCAGAGCTTAGTATGGAATCTGACCCTTATATTTCATCCCTTTTGAAGCAGAGTACTTTTTCCTTTTCATACTGTCTTGTCCATTTCACAGCTTTATTTGGTTCTTATAGCTTAGTTATTACTTAAACTATAAAAAAATAATTATCTACCAACTGAACACAATGTTATTACTACTTTCATGTTATTATTACTGTCAGAATTGTTAGCAGAGTTAACTTTAAAAAATTATGAGGTTTTTTTAATGCTTAAATAAGTCTATTAAAAAAATTCCATTAAACATGCAGACATAGAAAGTTTTAACGTTGGGGAACATCAGTTCTTCTCAAGATCTTCTGCTAAAGACATTCTGTGTCTATGGCTCATGTTTACAGTAAGATGGTGACAGTGAAGGGTCCATAAGTGATAAAATTTTAGAATAGTGCTGCATCTCAGGGAGATAGCAGGTTCATACTGATAGAAGTGGAGGATGACAACAATAATAATATGGGATAAATATAGATTTATTTTTTTCAACAGTCCATTAAAAACTAATTCAGTGCAGAAAATCTTACATCTTACTATCATATGTGGTGGTTACCATTGCAAGAATTATTGGATTAGTTTGCCTAAAAATTTGAGAATGGAGAGAATGGAGAAAATGGTGAGCTCTCCATACCATGTGGGGCTATCTCTTTGCAGAAACTCCCAGCTATTGCAGGTATCTACTCCCTTCTGCGCCAGCCCCAGTCCCAGCAGCCTTTGGCCAGATCCATACATGCGCTTGTTCAGAACAGTCCTTTCGGAAAGCTGCTTCGTCCACTGATTCTAATACAAATCATGTTACCAAACATCAAGTCACTTTTTCCTAATTTAAATTAATTCATTCATCTGACATGCTTCTCCTTGCTGTAATTCAAGTTACTTCTTTCATTCTCTAAGCTTTCCTGCTCCCAGACTTTTCAGTCACATTTGCTGGTTTACCAATTTCATTAGTCTTCCGAACTTGCCTGGATGTTTCCAAATGCTCAGGAAAGTCCTGTTACTGCAGTCCCCATGGCCGTCTCTTGTTCTGTTTTATGCTATCAAACTTTTAAGACTCCTTTTCATTCTGCTCTATCCCTCTTCCTTTCACTCTTATTTCACTTAAGCTTTTCACTGTTCCCCTTTATTCAGAAGTAAATGACCTGTATTTAATGGCTTCTTAAATCATTCAGATAAGCTATCAAAGGGCTTACTAGAACTCAAGTAGAAAATTGGTGTTTGGATTTTCATTTTATTCCTTACTACTGGGCTAATTCCAGGAGTTTAGTATCCTGAAGAAATACCAGTCAGGAATGGACAAACACTTTCAGATTATTTCCTGCTAATACGGTAGCTTTGCTGTTGTTGTTGCTGTTGTTTTGTTTTGTTCCTGAACCCTTGACATCAGGCTTAGTTTGTGGAAGATAGGAAACAGGTCTTCTGCTGTGTTTGTAAACTGAAGATATTACACTTCCCTACCTCATATATTCTACTCCAGAAACTCTCTGGTGATCAGGGTTACCAGAAGCAGACATTTGACAAGCTCTCTCTCTTGTTCCTAAGTCTTCTGTTGGAAGTTTCCCCTTGGCATGGTCACTTGGCACTAAGGGGACAATCATCCCATGAGCAAAAGCCTTGTGCATGTGAAAGAGAATAGCTGTGAATGCCTAGCAGTGTAAAACCACTTTTGAAAATATAGTATTAAAACAGTAAGCCAATATGTGTTCTGCAGAAACCAGCCAATTCTAAGCACATTACAGTGGCCAAACCATAGTAATTGTTCCTAGGCTGAACAGCTGCACTGTCTTCTTCCCACAGAAATAAAAATGGTAGGAAATAGGCCATGGAGCATGACTTTATGTATTTATATAACTGAAAACTTGATAGTGGCTGCAATGATGCAAAATATGTGAATATTATGAGGCCATTTTATGAAGAGATAAACTGAGGGCAAAGGTTTATGATTTGTCAAAAGTAACACATGGCAGAGCAAGGAGTTCTGGGCTCTACTGCTTTACAAGTCTGCAAAGAGTATACTAGTGCCTAGCTCTTGCTATGTGGTTTAGATACATTACAGTATTAACTTCTATCATTTTTATTAGTGTATTAGTGCTCTGATTGCCCACTAGTAATTGGGATTAGTTTTACTGAACTGATTTTTGCTCTGGAGCTACAAATGTTCAACTACTATTACTAACACGTACCTTTCTGTATGAGCTGATTCTGAGTGAGATTGAACATACTGGAAATTGTAACAGTACCTTGGAGTTCAACACGATCTTCCCTTGGTGTATTATTTCAACCTTCTCATGTTGTTCCTTCACAGCAGGAGGCTGCCATGCAGCAGAATTGCTATGGATAACACATGTATATACACTCACAGGGGTTGCTCACCATTGTAAATTGTTTATATTATATACAGCACTGTATTCATAAAAGGAAGAAAGAAATGTGTTTGAATTTATAGATTTTTTTTTCTCCAGAGGTATATAAAACTCTTTGCATATTTGTGATGGACTAGGTCTCCAGCATACTAGGTCTCAAAAATACAGCATGCAGGAAGGGTTTTGAATGTGCAGAGATAATTTATGTAGGTGAGAATGAAATTTGGCCATGATAATGTTATTAATGTATTGATCTTGGCCCTGGTTATGATCAATCTTCAGCAAAAAGTCCTGTGGTAAAGACACTGCTTTTGCTGTGTATTGAAACTGAGCACTGGTGTTAATTGAAGAGTCAAACAATCAGAGAAGACAGAAATTCCTTACCACACAGATTCCAGATCCATCAAGGCATCTGTTTGCATTACCATTACAGTTGCAAGGAGAGCATTTTCCTGAGCTGGTACGATAAAATCCTTCTTGGCATCCCTGCAATGGAAAAAAAAAGTATTTCCTAAGGTTTGGTGGGAGGAGCAGAAAACAAGAACTATAACTATCAGGTCTCCCCAGAGCACACTGCTCAACCCAGTCATAGCAGACCACACACACACACTGCTGAACTCGAGTCTGTTCTTTTACTCTCTGTCCTGGTGCTTGCTTGCTTTTTTGCCTTAGAGTATTCAAGCCGTCAGCATTCCTGCCCGTGTCCTGTCCCTGACCAGCAGTGGGTGTGGAACTGGTAGATTCTTGCTACATTTTGTACTAGAGGATGTGTTAATCAGAAATGATAATCCTTCTCAGCAAAGAAGGTGTATTTATAGGAAAGGAACTCCTTTTTACTTGAAAAAAGGAAAAGCTTTAGAAAATTTACTTTCCATCAAAGCTTTGATGAGCTTTGGATAAATAATCTACAGGAGACAGAAACATACCTACAGACATCAAGGTCCTTCTGAATAAATGTGTGGCTGAGCCTGTTCTATATAATTTAGTATTTTTGATAACACACCAAAGCTTACCAAAATTAAGCAGAAAACTGTAAATGTCTACATTGCCTAATTAGAGCAATGGTATAAGGAGTCAGAAACACAAGGCTATTAAGATAACCCTCTAAGACTGAAAAATAAAAAGAAAATTAAAGAGGATAGCTTTCATTTGGTGTATTATGTGTAAATTCTTGTTCTCCACTGAAGAACTTCTCCCTCATTATACAAAGCTGGTGAGACATGCACAGGTTGACCTCAGGAGCAACATCTCTTACTCAGTCAGCACTTGCTCTCCCTGTCCAGTCTCCCTGTGTCACATAGATTATGTTGGATCCCTGCAAACTCATGAATTTTTGGATCCTAAATATCTTAACCTTATCTAACTCTTGTAATATTGTTGCAGAGATGATGTGAAAGCACCAGCACATCATTCAGCTTTAAAAAAAATTATTTACCACATCCTGTTTCTGCTATCATTTGCAAATAGCACCCCTGAAGTGGGTGTCAGAGCCTGAGGTATGCCAGGCCCTCCTGGCATAATTCTTGTGGCCAGCACTTTTTGTATTTTGTGGATCTTGAGGACCTACCCTTGCAAAAAGTGGGAAAAGTGGAAAGTTCAAGTGACACAGAAGAGCATGAATCTTCTCGCATTTGTATGAGCTATGAGTCTTCTTATTATATGGTACTGATCAAATTAGGATTAGATTTCCTTTGTATCTCCCTCTTCCTTACTTTCCTGGGTTGCCCTGAAATTAAGGATGAGTTTTTTTTTCTGCACTGCAGCAACCTTTGCTTCTCATGCCCGCTGTAAGCTATGGCATGAACAGCAGGTCTATAGTATCAAATCCAGCACCACACAGTGATACTTCCATTAGCTGCAAAAGCTGGGCTGTGAGTACTAGTGCTAAATATCCCTGCTGGTGGCTGGGGCTACCTAATCCTGGCATGGTGCTGTGGCCCTGTCACGTCTGGAACCTGCACTTGCACGTCTTCATGGTGGCAGTTGTGGCTGTGGAGCACCGGGTAGCAAAAGACAGCCGTCTTGAGTCTCGTCTCCATGTTAACTTCCATTCTCAAGTGTTGGTAGGCACTTCAAAACAGCCAGATAAGGTGCTTGTTTAGAAAACAATGTATCTTGTGAGATGACTAACAACAAGCTTTAAAAAATGATGTTTAAAAATGAATCATTAATCCAGTCTTATCCCAGAGAGCTCTGAGAAGCTCAGATGAACATAAATGGAAATCACAGTTGCCTTTACCCTTCTTATGCACAATATTTTATCTGGTTTGCTTTGGAAACAGTTTATTTGATAATAGTTCCTAGGAGGAAAAGTCTTCATACCACAACCACTTTGGGACAGCAGAAATACTGTCTATTTGTACTGCTTGTTTCTTTCAGTTGCTTAGTCTTAACACAGAGCAATAGGACTGGCTCCTGCCAGACCGAAGGTTGCAGAAGAATGATTACGCCACACACTGTGGAAGGGAGACAGTTAGTTTCTAAATTGAAAACAGATTCTTATCCCAGTGTCTGCCTTTGCAATATTTATTTCCACCTATACAGATCTAAAGCTTGTTATACTCTCCTGCCCCTCAGCTGGAGGGTGGTCCTAGCTGGTCCTTTAGTGTCTGCCCAAAAGCTTTCTTGGTTTTGCAGGTCTAAGCAGAATAATTTTTTACTTGTGATAGTGAATATAGACAATAGGGATATGTGTAGAGGTGTCTGTGAAAATCCTTTAGTCAGCCACAAAGATAATCTTATTTTTAGTTCAACTAAGGGCATGCCTGCATTGCAGCCATGAGTGAGCTTTCATCTAATCCACACATAAGGCAGAAAAAGTTAGGTGCAGTTCAGTGCAACACTGCCAGTTCCAGCGTATGGGAAAGTGTTGCACAGTCTTTGCTAAGGTCCACTGGGAACCAGCTTACCTCCTATTCTGAAAAGACACACTCCTCAGTTCCTCAGGCCATCTGCCTCAATTTTGTGTGCCTCTGCTATTTTCATTGTTGGAGACCCTCTTGAAAATGAGATGAAGGATACCAAGTCACCTGAGTATTTTTTTTGCAACATTTTCCCCCCACGTTATTCAATTCATCACAAAAACTTAGAAAGTGCTGATGCTCACTATTCTAATACAATACTTTAAACCATGGGTTGCATCAATGTAAGCCAGAAATGAGGTATTGACAATCAATGCTATGAGGGAAGAGGAAATGAGGGGAAAATGGGATCCAGATTGTTTCCTTTGGGCTAAGAAGTTTTCTCAGGCATTCTGAAGTATTCTGATATATTTGTGTTGCTCCTTGCCCTACTAGTGATAATGGAGTGATTGGTTGGTTGTTCCAGGATGTGAGCCAACATCATATTTATAAAAAGAAGTGTCAGAGTGTTGAACTAATTGAGGGATTCAAATTGCTGAATGTTCTGGAAGCATAAAATAATTGCACACAAAGCACAAACAGGTCTGGAAAAAAATAAAAATACCCTCCCCGAAAAATCATTAGGTAGGCAATTGAGTGAGGAACATTTCCATCCACTATCTGTTCCTGAACGGTGAATACAATTAGTGAGCCAAAATGTTAGGTCTGCATTAGCAATTATGTCTTCACAATTATAAGATTTCTTTTTCCCCAAGGGAAAAAGTTTGTTCCAGTTCAAGCTGAAAAGTCCAACTGAATGTTGGTCTTGCTGATCTCCTGAAAATTTTTATGCCTGTGGGGCATTTATTCCCCCCCTTCTCGCTTTGCATCTGGATTTAATTATTACATTTCCCAAAAACAAGAACCAGCTGCATGCTGAAAGTGCTGTGGAGCCTGTAGTCATATTCTGTTTCTTCAGACACTTCTACTGGTCTGGGCGCAAGATGGGACTGAAGATGGAAGACAATCCACATATACATGGTATGAATTTACTCTCATATTATATTCAAGTAGTTCCATTGCTTTCATTGCAGCTGCTCCTTATCCAAACCTGCATAACTGAGGGCAGAATTAGGTCCACTGTTCCACCTAGAAGTAGTGGTGCAGCTGTGCTGGGGTAGATATGTTTGCTGTGACCCTGCCTCCTCTGGTTTGCTTTTCCCAAAAGAAGAGTGCTGTGCTGGTAGCATGCACCAAGTGTCCTCTGTGACTGCATCTGCACTGTCTAGCTGAAAGGCAAGGTGTAGTTTCAGGCCTCAATTTGCTCCTTGACAGATTGTAATTTTCCTGACAATGACCAGGCACAGCTCAGAGCATGACATTTGTTAGGACGTGCTCCCATGAGGCAGTCTGTATGGGACTGCTCTTCTCTGGGCAAACTCGGAGAGCGCTTCAACACATGGACATGGGCTGTGTTATGCTATTTGACTAGGAGGTCCCCACACTGCTTTATTCAGTAATTCAGATGTAGCCATTGACTCTCTCATCTAATGGTAGGAAAACATGGCATGTTTCTTTAGTTAGTACTGGAACTTGTGACTTTCCTGTGAATATATAAACATACAAAGGGTCTCTGTCTTCCAGAGTAAAAGGCTCCCTTGGATCCATACCAGTGTTTAGTATTTCCAGAGTTTTCTTTTGAGTGCTAGGGTACATGAAAGGATGTGTATCCAGGGCTAAATGGTCTACATTAAGACATTTCAGCCTTTGTTATATTCATTATTATTGTGGCTACCAGTCTTGGACCAGGAATCCCATTACAATCTGGTCCAAAACAAACCCAGAAGAAAAAGATGGTGCTTGCCACTAGGACCACTGCAAAAGAGGAGACAGCTGTTGCACTTGGGGAACTGAATCTGAGGAACAGCACTCAAAGTAGTAGAGATGGCACATCAGCTGCTAAGTCACTGCTAAGTATAATGTCAGTTGAGCCTTGGTTGTAGCTTGCCAGCGGTGTTATGGTCTTTACTTCTAGAGTCCAAAGGTGTGCTTCCCTCCAGATCTTAGAAGGTTCCTCAGGGGGCTATGTGGATGTTCAGGCACGAGGGCAACGATCAAACATATGGTATTAGTAAACTCTCACTTCAAAGGTCTGCTCAGGATAGTAAAAGTGAATGTGAATTTTGTGTAGAAGGGTGATTTTTGATGACAGTAGGCAAAAATGCACATTTTTTTAGTTTCTAGCAGGTCCCATGCATTACTTCTTTATATGTCAAGAGTTAAATAAATGACTACAGCATAACTTATTGTATGCTACTCAAGTCATAGTAACTGTCCTGATCATGTTCTTTTAGCCTTCAGTGGAAGAGAATTAAGTTAATTCTCATTACCTGTCCTCTGGTGACGGACAAGTACATACACAGATAGCTATTTCTGGTTAAGCTGACATATCAGCTCATTCACCTGCTTTACGCTGGTGGTGTTGCAAGTTCATTGGACATATAGTTTAATTTTGAAAATATATTTGTGCATGCAAATTTTCATTTTTCTTCTGTCTGACCTGTTCTCTACAGGTGGTAAAAATATTGCCAGAAGACGATTCCCTGAGGGAATCGTAATCTGGGAAGTGAGAAATTTGGCATGACC